GCTAATATTTACCAACAGAGATTAGAAAATATCCAAGGATTAAACCTGGATTTTGCTTCATTGTGAGCGGCAGGTGTGTAAACTTTCCTCCATCCAGCTGTTAGTCGCCCCCTGCTGCTCACAAACCCACCCCCCTCCACGCCTACATTCCCGTCGTATGGCTTTTTTTGTGCAAACTGTAAATAATAATATAATAAGAGATGCAGAACTACGAGAAAGAAAAATAATCTGTTGTATTTGATTTGAAGGGTTTCTGTCCGTACGAGTGAAATCGCCGTGATTTCATTTTCAATCTTTGAATCCTCCAGATGGTTCAAGACATTAACACAGAAATATAGAAACAAGTCGCAGTTGTAGCTTTTACTGTATATGAATAAACATTTCAGGTATTTTAAAGGGTTCTCTTATGCTGCACTCACATCCACTAGGTTTTAGCAGTAATAGTATAAATAGTCTTTTTTTTTTAATTGTGTATATATTGTATTTGTGCAATGCAGGAGAGAAAAACTATGAATATTCTGTATAGTTGCTGTATGTTCAGGTAGGCACTTGATAGGCGTACTCCCTATATCCCACAAGATTATACTCTAGTTGCAGTTAGGATTTTATGAAACTCTCTGAAAAAATGTTTTTTTTTATCTGTGTGGACATGGCGATACTCAAAATATATATAGAATATCTGCAAGATGTTTGCTATTTTACTCTTATGTGTATTTGTGAAAAAGCACAAAAATGCAACTACGGTATGTTTTTGTCTGAGCGCTGTTTTCTGTAAGTCTACTTTAGATTTTTTTTAAAGACTAAATGAAAATGAACTGAATAGAAATGTGTGGAGACGGACTGAAAGGTGGTCAGAAAGACAGAAAAATCAGAGTACTGTAAAATGAGCCTCGCCATTACTCTCTACCATTGGTTTCACCTCAACGCAAAGCATATATGAATATATAGTACACTAAAAAATACAGATGAAGCTATGAACAACACTATGACCACCAGAGAAGCAGGAGGAATCCTACAAATAATTCATCTCAGTGATTATTTCCACTTACTGCAAGAAGGATGACAATGTACTGTTAGACCCTGTCTCTCTGCCTGTCTCTCTCTCGCTACGCTAAAATAAACGAAACAAACAGGAATATATTTAAAAACACAACACAGCTGCAGCCTATCGTCTACTTTTCAACATGTTTTCTTCTGGAAAAAGATGCACACTTTTGCAAACGTAAAAAGTCTAGACCTACAACTAGAAGAAGAAGAAGAAGAAGAAGAAGAAGAAGCACAATTTGATTTTCTGGAAAAATGTCGCGACGACTTTTTAATCAGCCTTTTTCGTTATTATTTTTTTATTTTTTTTGTAACCGAGAGAGGGAAAAAAAAGCACCACCACGATTAGCTGAAGCAATCTAAGGAGTATATAACTATGGACAGTGAACGGCACATGATGCTAAAGGGGGGTAGGATGGAGGGGGGGGTGCTGTAGCGCGTCATGACACACCGGAGCTAAAGTTCTTCCCCTTCCAAGCCTGGCCTGCTAATATCAAACACCCTATGATACAGGAAGTCAACCAACGACGGGACGAGATCTCAGCTCTCGCCCGGACCACGTGGTGATTGGCTGCTTCAGTTTTTCCGAAAAAAAAAAGGAACGTGATCGAGAAACAATCGATAGTGTAATCGTGAAAACAAACGTCTCAAAAAACCGACACCAAGCTACAACTACTTAGACCAATGATACCACAAGGCTGGTTGTACTCATCTAGCTACAGTCAATAGTGCATCTGATATTCACACAAAAAATATGTCAAATTTAGGTGCCATGAAGGAATGCTAGGACACACTGGAACAGTTCGCTTCACTGTCTCTGCCTTTTTTGCGGCGTTATAAAAGTGATGATGTTAGTTTTGGCAGTGTTCGACTCGAACGGACAACAAAACACCGACGTCATGAGCTGCGTGCCGCACAAGTGGCAATACTGTTGGAAAGAGACGGTCTCGGCAGTTGCTTACATATTCTGTTTAGTGCATTGTCTGTTAAGGCATGAGATTACCCTCCACGTGCTGTGTAGAGACAAATAGAGCACTAGCATGCAGCGATATCACCGTCCTGGCAACAACAGCTTGAGGCTATATGCACACCGTGTAAAGACGGGCCCGATCAAACGCTCAGCGCCGTGCTACTGTTACCGAGGATTAACCTCGCACTGGTTTTTTTTTGGATGTCTCAAGCGGAAATACAGATTTTTTTTTTAACATTTTTATTTTTTACCACAGGGGCCTCGCATCTAAATCTCAAAACTCTTGAATGCTAGCATCGAAACGCTCAACTTCTCCCAGACTGAATTTCACAGTACTCGACTCTCGGAGGGAAAACGAAAACATGTGACAGGTGCCTCATTAGCCCAAAAGGTTCGGAGAGCTGTTTCCCACAGTACCTGCGCTGCATATTGCAAAGGAAGCCCTACAGTTGAGATATTCCACGTATCAATAGTTTGATTAGGCTAATTGATCACTCACAGAAGGTCACAGACATACAAACACCAGGGAAGGGGCAACGACTGTGTACAAGATACTAAAGAAGCTGCACTCACACTTTGAAACTCACAGAAAGTTGTTCTAAGACACGCACACCATTTATGTTACACACACGTTATATATGTATTATTATAATATTCATTTAACCTCCACCAGTGGATTTGCACCGGAGGTTTTTCTATTATTACTGTTGTCTTGCTGTCTGTGATGTTTGGCTTGTACGTTCTCATAGGAAAGTTATGCACTGTTTCTTAAAAAAAGAAAAGAAGAAGATTAAATAAACTCGTATAGGGGACAGAATCCATAAAATATTTCAAAGATTACAACGTAGATGAGCACACCTAAAGATTTAAATAAAATAAACGCTTGCGTTAACACGGCACGACAATATACTGTAGCAAGCAAAAACAGAAGCCAAGAATTACTTAATGAAGGTGGAGACGACTCTACAACCAAATGTTAGATTAAAAAAAACATTTAGTTTTCCTCTAAAACTATAATATCTCTGTTAACAGTAGTGCACTTATTGGTTAAAGCAGTGCAACATATATGCAAAAAAAAAAAAAAAATGCAGTCCACTTATCAAGATTGAAAAATAAAATTGAATAAAAGAAAGTTCATTTAAAAAAAAGATTAAATATTAAGCACAGGCATTTTAAGAAAATGTGCAAAAATAGCACTTTTTTTTTTCTGAATTGACAGCAGGTCTTTTGAAGACCCCTGTATGCAGATAGTTGTTTTTTATTGTGCAACTACCAGTTTGCTCACTTAAAGAAGCAAAACCTTCACACGGCAGTTGCATGTGTGTGTGTGTGTTTTCACGTGTGTGACCTATTTAGGTTTTTTTTTTTTAATAAGCAATATAAAAGAATCAAGACATCATAAATCAGACGTAGGTGAAGTGATGCGTGAACGACAAGTTGAACACACAAGCCTCCATATCCATTCCGCACGCACGCCGTGTCTCGGTGTTGGAAGAAAAAAAAAAAAATCGGGAATGTTTGCTATTGTCAACACCGCCCATCTGCAGCTCGTGGCTTCTAACGGAACAACGAGATATCGATTGATGGAGCTACTTGTTTTTTTTGCTTTCAGACTGTATTTCCTCTCAAAACGTTGCACGCGATTCGAGCCTTCGGAGCCAAAAAGAGCGTTGCGTTCTGCCTCCAGCTGCTGGGATCGCTCCGCAGCTGTAAGAAGCAGATTACGCAGGATAAGGGTGGCAATTATTCCACTTTTAAATTTGATTCAATTTAAATTACCGTGTTTTACAACACTGCTCCAATCAACACCTACCCCTCCGTAGAAAATCCTGACTCCTTTATTAAATTAAAGCCTACTCAATAACAATAACTGTTGAAGTGAAAATTTATTTAATTTTTTTTGTTTCTGTTAAATCGATATCTCATAACAGTCGGGTGCAAGTTTGAAGAGCAGCAATAATGAAGGAGTTTAGGAGCATATAATCTGCCAAAACTGTAAATGTAAAAAGGCTTGAAAAGAAAACCCATCAGCAGAAGATTCTTCCTTTTGTTTCGCAGTGGAAGAGGTCTCGTAGCCTTAACAGTCTTTTAGGATTTTAAAAGGCAGTGTATGCAGACGAGATAAACTCCGACAAGAAAAGAAACACGTTTTTGCTCGAATACCGTCTTCATCAACACGCCAAAATTTAGTCAACCACCAAAATGCATGGACAATATAACTCTAAAACAAATGAGAAATCATTTCCCCGTCACCTCTGACAGGAAGTTGCAGTTCAGGAAAATGATTCGAGTCGGTCTGACAACAGAATAATCCCTTAATACCACAGGAATAAATAAAACCCAGTGTCAAATTAAGTACTCTCCTTTTTTGTTTGATGTAAGAAGGCAATCTTGTGACCATCAGTACTTTTTTTTTTTTTAGAGGGAATATGTAGCCCAACTCTAAATGCATTTTTTTTAAATACTTTTTTAATTTTTTTTTTTATTGTCGTTGTAAATTATACCACAGTAAGCTTGGATATGATAGTTTCCAAACTGGTCAGTATGGGTTCACAACTGCCGTGATTGAAGTTTCACGGCAATGTACACACGCAGACGCACACACACACGCGCGCACACTTAGACAAGTAAACAAACATATGCAAAATACACAAACGCTCAAGCATATTTGCTCATTTATAGTCATTCAGACTTCTCTAGACTAAAGGTGTGTTTGTGTGTATGTGTTTCTTTCGTAGGCCTTTCGGTAGTGTTCAACACATAAATCAGTATTTTAGGAAAGCATACATTTAGAGGCCTGTAGTTAGGATCCATCCAGTAGATCAATATCAAACTACTAAGCCTTAAGGCCACCATCTTTGTTTTTTCTTTTAGAATAATAAAAAAAAAAAAAGAAACTTTTTTTGGGGAAACTTAATGTGCCAGTGTCTATACTCATTAATCTTCATACCTCAAAATAAGAAAAGGAAAATCTAGTGCCATTGTATTTGTCATCCTTTACGAAAAAAAGTTTTTTTTGTTGTCGTTTTTTTTTTTTTTGTTGTACTTATCCATCGGAGACGTGCATTCGCATGTGGTCATTGAAGAGCTCCATTTGGTCGAACTTGGCAGGGCAGACAGAGCACACGTAGGTGGTCCCTTCTTGGCAGCTCGCTTCAGCAGCTACACCCACTCCCGTTCCAACCCCGGTCCCGACTCCAGCACCTCCGCTCACTGGCATGGCGAGGGCCACCACCGCGGCTCCGGGCTCAGGGACGACCATAGGCATGGGGATGGAGACGGGGCCCGAGGGGCCCACGCTCGCCGTCAGCCCCGTGATGGCGCTGGCCGTGCTGTGCAGGGCCATGTGCCTCTCCAGCAAGGTCTTGTGTGAGAACTTCTTCTTGCAGATGTAGCACTCATAGGACTTCTCGCCACGGTGCAGCCGCATGTGGACGTTGAGAGAGCTCTTCTGGGTAAAACGCTTGTTGCAGATGCTGCACTGGTAGGCCCGCACCCCTGTGTGTGTCACCATATGTTTAATTAAATAATCCTTCAGGGAGAATGAGCGCCAGCAGATGCTGCACTGATGAGGCTTCTCACCTGGATGTGCACACAAAGCATTAACAAATTTTAACAACCATTCTGAGAAAACGCACCTTTTTACCATCTTTGAACATTCGCACACGGTATGAACGAGTTCTGGTGCATTCTGTTGGCATGTGCGTAAATGTTTCGCACAGAAACCCAACGATGAGCGCAAATTCCACTCATGTATATTTAGTGCTTGTAACTCAGGAAGCCTCGTCGTGAACTAAGTTTTGTAACCTTGTAAAATAAAATGGCGGAGAACTTCTGCTTTGAGCGTGTGTAGATAGGAATTTTGTGCCAGTAAAAAAAGACTTGTATTTGGAAAAAATAATTACACTAATTATCAACATATATTTTTTTGTGTTACGGTCTTTTTACAGACACAAAAACTACGTGTAAAACTCTGCACTCAAGTTCCCGAACATGCGTGCGACTTTCAACTAAGTACGATTTATGACGAGATGTTTCTTCCTCTCAGCTGATTGGTCAATGTCATGTCAGTCGCAAATTTAATTAGACAAATTGCATTTCCTGCGAAAATGCAGTGCGAACGGTTATTGCTGAAGAAATTGCAGAAAAGCAGCTGAAATTAATAAAAAAAAACATGCTGCATGCTGGAATGTAGCTGAAATGGAAGAACAGGCCTAAACTAGCAGAAGAAAGCAGAAAGAACACATTTTTGCTGAAATTGGTTTGAATAAGCAGAAATTAGCATAACAATTTAGAAAGTAGCTAAAAAAGCTGAAATTAACAAAAAGAAAGGCTGAAAAGTAGCTGAAAGCCAGAAAGAAGCTTAAACTACCAGACAGAAGCTGAAATTAGCTAAAAAATGTGGAATTGGCTGAAAAAGCTAAAATTAGCATAAAATGGCTAAATAGTAGCTGAAATAGCAGACATGGATGAAACTGGCATAATTAAGCTGAAAGAAGTATAAGGAGGTTAATTTAGCTGAAAGTAGCAGAAATCACCATGAGAAACTTGAATTTATCTGAAAACAGCTGAAATTAGTTAATGCTACAAAAAAAGCTAGCTGAAAAGTTAGAACAAGCTTAAATTAGCAGAAGAAAGCAGAAAGTGCATGTTTGCTCGATTAGGCAGAAAGAAACAGAAATATAAGCACAAAAATGTGGAAATCATCTGAAAAAGGCTGAAATTGGCACACAAACCAGAAAAACTGCCGAAAAGTAGCTAAAAAAGGCAGAAAGAAGCTTGAATTACCAGATGGAAGTGAAAAGAGCACATTTTTGATGACTGAGATAGAAAAAAAATTAAATTAGTGCAAAAAATGTGGAATTAGCTGAAAACGCTAAAATTAGCATAAAACTGCTAAATAGTAGCTGAAATAACAGAAAAGGCTGAAATGTTCAGAAATAAGTCGAAAGTAGCATAATAGGCTGAAATTAGCAGAAAGAAGTTAGAAGAAGCACAAAAATGTTGTCGTTGGTAGAAAGAATCTGAAAGGAGCACACCACAGCTGAAATTAGCTGAAAGTAGCTGATTTTTTCTTTTTAATTTGCCCAAGGAAGCTGAAAGAAGCTGAGCCAGAACAAAATGTGAATGGAGCAGTAAAAGGTAAAATGTTGTAAACACATCTAAAGTTTTCAAGGATGTAAAATAAGCTCAATTCATTTTCTATGTGAAAAAAGCAGAAAAGGCTAAATATTTCAAAAAGCTGAAGTTGCGCCAACACCGAGTCATAGTAGCATTGTCCTGAAAGAGCCGAACATTTTGATATGATTTGTTGAAATAGCTTGAAAACTGCAGGACAAGAGTTGCGCCGAAAAACGTGCAAAAGAAGAATGGATGAGAACAGTGTGAATGCTTGATAAACATTCCCACAACCAGCCAGAGAGCAGATTCTCCGTCGGGGTGGCGCTGCAGAGCCGTAACTTCTTCTATTATTTTTTACTAACACAAATCACTTTTACTTGCACACATTCCTATCTGCACTTCCTCAGAGCAGAACATCTCAGACACTTTATTTTACAAGGTGACACAACTTAAATCCACAACTGTTCAGTCTGATTTACAAGCGCTAAATATTTATATGACTGGAATTTGTGCTCATACCAACACTGAACTGAAATTATGCTTCAGTTTTAGAAAACGTGCCAGATTTACGTCACTCCGGGGAAATGCGTGTAAATCTTAACATGCCTTAGCTATTCCCATTTTTTGTCCAAAGCTAATTTAGCACAATCTGTTCATGGTGTAAACAGCCAACTTGACGACGGCCTTCACTTAAATGTCAGAATCTGTGCGTTGCGGTCATTTTTAATTAAACATGTCTGGGTTTTAATGTGGCTGAGTGAAAATCAGCCATTAAAAAAAAAAAAAAAAAACCTATCTGTTTATTAGACAAAAAGAGCAAATTGGTAAGTTGGAACTGAATCAAGGCAATTTTTTGACCGACGTTCTGAAACGTTGACAACAGCCTCATGCAAACGCTGCAGGGTCATGTGACGTCTGCTTGAGCAGAAAGACCAGAACCCAGGACAGGAGCGTGACCTCAGCTACACTTATCGATGGTGTCATGTTGCAGCATTGTAAGATTTTTATGTAGCTCCTATGGAGATACGACAACAAACAAATCCAACAGAGTTGACTAAATATTTGGCCTTGTTGCCATTTTTAAAAGCATTAAAATGCTCTTTTTCAGATAGTGCAGGTTAGAAAACACCATAAATCAAACAAAGAAAAGCAAATATCAGTGATCTTGTTGAGCTCTGCAGACAAAGCTTCCCGTTTGATTGACGTAATTAGTTAATTAGTCAATAATTAGCATTTATTATTATTATTTGTTTCCAACAGGTGTGGTTCTGCAATCGACACGTTTGCAGCAAACGAAAGCATAATATAGTCATGTTATGACCCTTCTATGTTTAACTACAGCAGCTCCTTTTGTAGATAACTTGTTTATTTTTTTAACAAAACAAACATATCCCATCACCAGTTGCTGCGGGGTGTTCAGATCTGAACCAGTGGACAGACCAGCCTGAGTCACCATCACTCCACAAAACATGTTCTGGTCAGGAAATGAACAACAACGGTTGCTTGAGTAGTTTTTTTTTTTTTTTTTTAATGGGATCATCTAATTACACAATATTTAATTTAGCGATGATGTTTCCCCTCGTACGTGATTGATCGGGCTAAAAGGAAGACGCAGTACAACGTTGCGCTGCTTCCAAACTTCGCTGCCACTGAAAAGCCATTACAGAGAACAGGCAGGATGCTGGTCAGCTGCAGCCGGATGGAAGTCATTTCTACCAGGCTGTAATACAGATAACGTGCTAAACTCTTTTAGACTTTTAATGAAAACAATACGAGCTTCTGCCTCGTTTGGTTTTAAATCTGTCACACGTACCAAATATAACAGGAGTTGGACACAGGAACATGCTAACTGATTTTAGCTGAAAGCAGCTGAAGAAGCTGAAAAGCAGCCTAAAACGGTTCCATCTCTAAATTGTTAATGTGAGTTAATCTTAAACAGCTGCTGAAAGCAGAAAAATAAAAGTGGAAAGCAGCCGAAAAATGGCAGAAATACGTATAAAAGGCTGAAGAGTGGAACTATAGCAGAATAAGCTGAAATAGGCAAAGAAAGACAAAATAGATGGCAAAAAATTGAAATGAGTAAAGAAAAAAGCCATAAAAGCTAAAAAAAAATAAACTAAAACTAGAGAAATTGCATTTCCTGTGAAAATGCAGTGAATGCCTATTGCTGAAGAACTTGCTGAAAAACTGCAGAAATGAGCTAAAAACATGCTGAAATGTAGCTGAAATGGAAGAACAAGGCTAAGTGAGCAGAAGAAAGCACAAAGAACATATATTTGCTTAAATAGGTTTAAATAAGCAGAAATTAGTACCAAAATGAGGAAATTAGATATAAAACTGAAATTAGCTAAAAGTAGCTGAAAAGGCAGGAAAAAAGCTTACACTACCAGAAGGAAGTGCAATGAGCTGAAATGAGCTCAAACAATGTGGAATTAGCAGCTAAATTTAACACCAAAACAGGTAAATAGTAGCTGAAATACCAGAAAAGGCCAAACTAAACAGAAATAAGCTTAAAGGAGCATAAAAGCTTAAATTAGTAGAAATAAGTCACAGAAATTACCACAAAAACTTGAATTTATCTGAAAACAGCTGAAGTTAGCTAATAAATGCTTAAAAAATAGCTGAAAAGGTAGAACAAGCTTAAATTATCAAAAAGAAGTGGAGAGCACACCATTTTGCCATATGATGAAAGAAGCAAGTAAAAAATGTGGATATTATCTGGAAAAGGCTGAAGTGAGCAAACAAACAGCTGAAAAGTAGCTAAAAAAAGCAGAAAAAAGCTTAAATTAGCAAAAGGAAGTGGAGGGAGCACATTTTTGCTGAATTAGGCTGAAAAAAGTTTAAATGAGTGCAAATAAATGTGGGCTTAGCTGAAAAAGCTAAAATTAGCATAAAAACAACCAAGTAGTAGCTGAAATAGCAGAAAATGAAGAAATAAGTTGAAAGGAGCCTTACAAGCTGAAATTAGCAGAAAGAAGTTAGAAGATTCATAAAAATGTTGTAGTTAGCAGAAAGAATCTGAAAAGGAGCACAAAACAACAAAAAAAAACAGCTGAAAGTAGCTGAATTTTTTTTCCCAAAAGGAAGCTGAAAGAAGCTGAACTAGAACAAAACGTGAAAGGAGCAGTAAAAGGTTCTCGATCTAAAGATTTGTAAGATGTAGAATGAGCTCAGTTCATTTTCTATGAGGAAAAAAGTGGGAGAAAAGGCTAAATATTTCAAAAAGCTAAAGTTGCACCAATACCAAAATCATAGCAGTATTGTCCTGAAAGAGCCGAATGTTTTGATGCATGATTTGTTGAAATAGCATAAAAATGTGTGGAATGAGAAAGATGCCGAAAAAAACATACAGAAGAAAAATGGATCACAACAGTGTGAGTGCTTCATAAACATTCACACAATTAGCAGAAAGAAGCTGAAACATGCTGAACCAGAAGAAAAGCTGAAATG